ATCGCCCTCTCAGGTAGGATCGAGTCTTGTAATGCCCAAATCACTCGAACCTTACATGTTCACTGAAAACACCCCCTACTTTACGCTCGTTGCAATTTCGATCCTACCTTGGGGTATATAACGCTTCATGATGTGACCGACATTACAAGAAGACCAGCGACCAAGAAGATCCAAGCAGCAAATCAAAGGACCCATCACCACAACCAGACCACAGACAACATTACAGTGCAGAAACACAAATCAGCCCTCCAAGATTGATATATCATATCATTCATAGAGACAATCACTGCTCTAGCAGTTATACAGCCCTTAGTCATCATAATCCATCACCACAGAAAACAACAACAATTAGTGATACCACATTAGACATTACAGTGTTCCATAGAATTATTTTGTGTTTATATTATTCCGTGGATTAATACCAGCATCCAGTGCAGTTAAGAAGATCCACGAACAGATAAGTAACATAACCCACTAACACACCCAAAACAAACCCTTACATATAGTAGTCTAACTTTCATTCATTCATTTATTTTCATTTATTTCATTTATTTCATTTATTTTATTATTCTTGCCCAAACACACACCCTAACCATATATATTATAGTTTCTCCATAGTTTACTTGTCACTGCTCCCCCATACCTAACAAAACACCATAGTATTCAATATAGTAGTTTGCTCTGAATTTATTCCTTCATTTGTATTAGTTTTTTTTGGCCCTAAATCATCTAGACATAAATTCACATTAAGCTATAGAAGTTTACAAAAACAACAATTTCTACAACCACTTAAGTTCCTTTATTCATCATACCATTAGGCAACAACAAAAACACTCATAAGGAAAAAGAATTTACACTAACAATAAATTTGAACTACCCTTTTTCGATCTTAAAACAAATTCAAAAACGACCCCGATAACAGATCTGTAAAAACGAACCAAAATACATTAGGGTGGATTAAGAAATTTTGTAATAAAGCGCTCGAACCTCGGTCTACTCGTTGAAAACACCCCCCTACTTTCGGCTAACTGTTAAAAATTGTAACCGCGCTTTTGATTGGCCAAAGTTTCAATCCTATCTAGACACCTTTTTAACACAAATCAACCAAAAACAACCCTCCCTCTAAATCAAACCAACTACCAATAAAACATGAGACCGCAAATAGAACAAGTAGTAGTACTCAAACCAAAACCCAACAACAAAACAATCTGGCCCTACAAAAACCTAAACAAACAAAACACCCGGACAGAAATACAACAAAAAACAGGAGTAGTCAACCCCCCACAGTTCCTGCCCTCAGGAGTAATATTACTCCTCTGCCTAACAACCCTCCAACTTACCAATGCACTTAAACTAAGAACCCTACAGAACCTACCCTATGACACATACAAATCAAGCAGACCAAATAACAAAACAAACAAACCCAGAACTAGAAAACCCACACAGAACAAAATCAACAATCAACAACCTAATGGTAGCAGGGGGGTGGTCTACAAAATACCCCTATTCGTTTCCATGACATTCTTTCTGAGCCCATTCGTCAATAGAGCAACACGATTCATCAACAAAAAAGGCAAAGCCACAACAACAGTCCTGCTACATTTCACATCCCCCAACCTCCCAAAGGTAATTAGGTACGGGCACCAACTCTTTCAAGTAACCCCATACAACAACACAACCACGACAACAGAAAACAAACAAACAACCAAAACAACCAGATCAAACAACAAAACATCAGCAGTCGACCCCAAAACAACATATGCCGATAAGGTAAAGGGCTCAACACACACACAACACTTCACCACAGAATCCAACACAAAATTAGATTACAAAATAGAACAAACCCCAGCTCACAACATGGAACAAACAGTGACAAAAGGCCAATTGATAAACATAATCAGCACCATGTTCGTTACTTTCTCATCGGTTTTGGACTGCTCGGAAACTTATGAAACAATTAAAAAAGTAGTAAAACAAGAATTAGATCTAGATTTCGAAATTACCCCAAAATACCAAGATACGTCAATCACAGATAATAGCCTACTACAGGCAAAAAATTACGAAACGGCCACAAACAACAGCATTACAAACCAATCACCAAAACATCGTAACAACCCCCCAACATCCACACCAGTCAACTCCCCCACACCACCTCCATCTAGGGTTGAGCTAATCAACAAAGCCCTAAAAGAACTAAACTCCCTACCCACATCACTCCATTCACCAAATACATCGGAACTAGAGTCCATGCCCTCATCTCCCTCTCAATCCACACTAGACATAACTATAGAGTCGGAGAAATCAACAGAAAACAAATCAGACCCCCCCTCCACTCACAACGACACCCCTCATGAAGAGGATCAAAACACTCCCCCCTCCACAATAAAAAAGAACACAAAAAAAGGGAAAAAAAGTCAGGTACCAAAGACACCCAAAACTCCAGAATGCTTAAGCAGAAAACCAATTACAAGATCACAGAAAAAACAAAAAAGTAAAAAACACAATCCAAAACTCAGACCCACAACACAAACACCAGTATTAGAAAAATATAAATAAACATGACAGAACAGAAAGTAACTAAAAAGACCGCGGGCGGACTTTCTGTTCTCAGTTGGAACGCCCGTGGTCTAAAAACTAATATAAACAGCCTAAAACACTTATTAGACATAGACGGAAACATCGATGTTCTCATGTTCCAGGAAACGAAAATTAGCGAAAAAACAAAATACCCCAAAATAAATGGTTATTACGAACCAATCAAAACCCATCACAAATCATACGGTTTAGCAATATATATAGCAAATAAAATAGCTTACAAAACAATACCAATAACCGTAGTTTCGGAAAACATACAAATACTAGGCGTAGAAATACACAATAAAGATAAAATTATAGCCCTTTTTAACATATACATAAGTCCTAGTATAAAATTAGAAACAACAGATCTGGAGAATGTAACATCATTAATAAACAACTACCAACATCATATAATAATGGGTGATTTTAACGGACGTAATAGCCTATGGGGAAGCCCTGAAGACGATCATAGAGGGGAACTTTTAGAAAATTGGCTAAATGATAATGACCTAATTGTACTAGATAATCCAGAACAGGGTACTAGGTTAAATATCAAAACTGGTAAAGAATCACATTTAGATCTAACATTAGCTTCACCAGAAATAGCCACAAAATTTGTATCATGGGAGGTAGCTAATAACACACTAGGCTCCGACCATTACCCAATAGTATTAAAACTAAATTTCGACCCAATTAAAAACGAAATACAATTTCCCCCTAGATGGATTTTTGAAAAAGCCAATTGGGAAAAATTCCAAACATTAGTAAATAATTACGATGAACTAAACATATTTAATGAGAACATTGATGTCTTCAATAAAAACATAACAACACACATATTAGAGGCAGCACAAAAAACAATTCCAAAAACTTCCGGAAAACCCAAAAATAGAAAACACAATCCATGGTGGAACGAAAGTTGCTCTACAACCAAAAAAATTATGCGTAGATGGGAACGAATAGTTAAGAAAGACCCTTCAGAAATTAACATTAAAAATTACAATATAGCAAGAAACAAATTCAAACGCACATGTAAAAAATATAAAGAAGAAAATTGGTCTCAATTTTGTAATTCATTAAATAATAAAACAAACGTTAGAGAAGTTTGGAGCAAAATTAAAGCTATACAAGGAGTCCCCCCCAAAGAAATACCCATATTAGGCAAAAAGGGGGAGGGAAAAACAAACAAAGAAAAAGCTGAAATTTTTGCCCAACAATTCCAAAACGCCAGTAGCTCAAAAAATTGTAACGAAGAATTTCTACAACATAAAAAACAGGTAATAGAGGAAATTAAACAAGATATTAAAGATTTCGGTAACAACGACACACATTTAAATGTTCCCTTCTCATTAGACGAATATCTATCGGCCTTAAAAACAAAGAAAAATACATCCCCAGGAATAGACAATCTTTCGTATTCCATCCTCAAACAATGTACACCAAAAATAAACAACACAATACTAAAATTAATTAATCAAATTTGGACAACCGGAAGTTACCCCACCACATGGAACACGGCTAGCGTGATTCCAATACTAAAACCCGGTAAGGACAAAGAGGATCCGGCTTCGTATCGCCCCATATCATTAACATCGCACCTATGTAAAACATTAGAAACAATGGTAAATAATAGACTTAAATATTACATAGAAAGCAATAAATTAATAGCAGAAACGCAGAGTGGGTTCCGCAATAGAAGATCTACATTAGATGCACTAGTAAGAATTACTTCAGAAATAAAAAATAATTTAAGTAAAAACCACCACACAACAGCAGTGTTTTTAGATCTAGAAAAAGCCTACGACCTTATTTGGCATGAAGGTCTTCTTAAAACACTAAAAGAAGTAGGAATTACAGGAAATATTTTAAAATTTATAACAAATTTCTTAACAAACAGAAAAATTAAAGTCAGAATTAACAATAATTACTCAGATGAGTACCAACTAGAAAACGGTGTTCCTCAAGGGAGTGTAATATCACCAACACTCTTTAATATATATATTAATAAATTAGATCAAGCCATCAAAGAGGCAAACCAAAATCTTGCTAACCCTAGTGCAGGTCAATTCGCGGACGATGCCAGTATTTGGGCAAGTAACCACACTATCAGAAATAACGCCCGCATCATACAGAGAAATCTAAACATCATAGACAATTGGGCAAACGAATTCGGCTTTAAAGTATCTAAAGAAAAAACAGTAGCGATGCTATTCTCGAGAAAAAATAAACACCCAGACCTATTTTTAGGCAACAAGAAAATAGAATTTGTAAAACAAACAAAATATCTAGGTCTGATCTTCGACAAACAACTATCATGGGTGCCACACATAAAACATTTAAGAAATAGATGTAAAAAGGTACTAAATACACTTAAATATGTTTCAGGAACTAAAGTAGGGGCAAATAAAGAAACACTTATTAAAATGTATACAGCCCTAATAAGATCCAAACTAGACTACGGATGTCAGGTGTACGATTCGGCCTCGGACAACGCTCTAAAACCATTAGACTCTATACAACATCAAGCACTAAAAGTAGCCTTAGGAGCTGTCCGCAATACACCATCACTTAGTTTATTAGCTGAAAGTGGGGAATTACCACTTAAATTAAGACGAGAAAAACTTATTCTTAAATATTGGGCGCGAACACAAGTCATGGGACCCTCTTTTCCCCCGTGTAAGATAGTGAAAAACACAGAGAACAAAGCATACAGAAACAAACTAAACAAACATCAAAAACCACCATACATGTTTAGAATACACGAGGCACTAAAAGAACACAAACTGGATAAAATTAAAATAGAAGAGTATCTGCCAAACCCGACACCTCCATGGCTTCTAAAACAACCGGAAGTCAACATCGATATTTTAAATACAGTCAACAAAAAGGAAAACCCTATAGCTGCAAAACATTTGTCTTTAGACATAATATCTAAATTCGAGAAAAGAGAACACTATTACACCGACGGATCGAAAAATCCAGATAATAATAGAGCAGGTTTTGGAATCTTCTGCCCTCAAAATTCTACAGAACTTTCAATTCGGATTAGCGATAACTGTTCAGTATATAGCAGCGAAATTATTGCCATAGGATTAGCACTCCGCATCATAACAGTAAATAAACCGAAAAACGGAGCTGTAATCCTTTCAGACAGTCTATCCTCTTTAATATCCATCTCAACCGGAAACGGAACCAGAAACACAGTTCTAACATCTATTCAAAATTCAATAAACCAGTTGTCAATAGCTAAAATACCCGTCACGCTCATGTATGTCCCGGCACACGTGGGAATACCGGGTAATGATAAAGCAGATCAGTTAGCAAAAAACGCGCTTCACTTGACCGAAATTACACAACCAGTCAGTCTTACTAAAGAAGAAACGTATTCGCTAATTAACAAATCGATACAAAAAAAATGGGACGATATTTGGCTCAACTCAGACCCCAATCAACCACTAAGGAAAATACAAGACAAACCATCCAAAAAAGCCATCTTATATAGCGAAAACAAAACAGAAGACAAAATTATAACAAAATTAAGATTAGGCTACACCAAATTAAAAGAAAACATCAACAAAATGATAAAAAATACATCACCAAATTGTACACACTGTAACGCATTAGAAACAATCAGCCATGTGTTTACAGAATGCCAATTTCACTCAACGGCAAGAAATAATTGGAAAAAACAACTCAAAAAAGAAAAACTAGATGATAAAACACTAATTGAACTAATAAGACTGGCAAGCAAAAATCAAGTAGCACGTAACTTAATCATCTCCTTTATCCGCGAAATCGGCTACATAGACAAAATCTAAATCCAAACAGAGATATGGTGCAAGGGAGGCAACTCTTACTGAAAATTAGGCAAATTTTTGACAAATACACAAATAGACACAGAAACACGTACATGAAAAAATATAAAACTAAGTGACCATGATAGATAATTATACTCATATTAGGTAGCTACTACACCCTGCAGGTGGGACGGTCACTTAATTAAAAAGGGCAGGGTGCAGGGTCAAATGTATGAATAGAAATAATTATTGTATATAACTGTAAATATCATAAACCAAACAAACAAACACAAAGTTAGGGAAGTGATTATCTAAGGACTGTTAGACAAAATATAAGTACTGGTTCCTCTCTCCCCACGGTATTACCCCACAGGGTAAATATGTGTTGGGGCGTTGTCCTTCGTGTTTCGGAACCTTTACACGTTAGGTAGGGCCCAAGGGATAATCAGACCACGCTAAATGGTAATAATAGACGGGTCGGGTTATCTAACACAGTCTGTAAGATAAACACAAACACACGTAAACTATATAATTAATAACTAAAATACTTCACACGGGATAAGAGGTACTACAACGTCTTTGTTTCGCCCTCAGACGGGGAGTCCGGCCACCCGACGATGGCTCCTGTAGTACTTCCGGTTCCGAACACACACACAAAATATATACACACACCAAAATTAACATAAACACACTTAAAAAAACAAACAAACTATAACCACATAAAGACTACTACTACATAGTGATTATTTAAAGACTGTTAGACGTAATATAAGTACTGGTTCCTCTCTCCCCACGGTATTGCCCCGCAGGGTAAATATGTGTTGGGGCGTTGTCCTTCGTGTTTCGGAACCTTTACTCGTTAGGTAAGGCCTAAGGGATAACCAGACCACGCTAAAATGGTAATAATAGACGGGTCGGGTTATCTAACACAGTCTGTAAGATAACACGAGCACACACATAAACAATAGGAACAATAAATAATATATACCCCACACGGGACAAGAAGTACCACAACGTCTTTGTTTCGCCCTCAGACGGGGAGTCCGGCCACCCGACGATGGCTCCTGTAGTACTTCCGGTTCCCGGTAACATAAAATACATAAAACCCCACAAGCACACAATTCCCCACATACCCCCACCATAAGCTCAATATATATAACACCTACCCTTAACTACAAAATAAACTAATACCCCGAGCCCGTAAAAAACAACTCAAATACAAGTAGATTTTAGGCGAGTCAAGACATTGCGGTCTCGCTCTGTTTAAAAAATAAAACAAAAACACAGAAATACCCATTAGAAATACATCAACATATAAGGCTAGGCCCGTTATCAATAATTTCTGAACCAAATTAAACAAAAAACTCAGACACAAAAATTGGTTTTATAACGAGTCAAGACATTGCGGTCTCGCTCTATTGTCAGATAAATAAAACAACAACACAATCTATCTATACAATCCAATAAAGTCAATCAGCAGCCACAGCGGTGCATGCCAGGCTGACTGCAGCTTCAAAACTTTCGATCCTACCTAGGTAGCTAGCTTAAGTACTATCCACCAGTCCGTCGGCGAAAACACCCCCTATTGTAACAAAGGCGGCGATTGGATAGAATTTCAATCCTACCTAAGCCAAATTTTTGCACAAAACTAGAAATATCAAAACTTCCCCCTTTTTGACGCAAAATATCGAAAATTACACAAAAAACAATAAATAATGTAAGAATGACAGAAAACAAAACCCTATCAATCCAAAAAACCCAACTTTTAAATATCAAAAACTTTTTTTTTTTTTTTTTTTCTCTCTTCAAAACCACTCAATACTAAATAGATTATAGGGATATGCGTATAATTCGAGACGCCTATACAGACACTCTTTATTAAAGTGGGTGGCCTTAAAAAAGGCCGTTGAATAATGTACATTCAAACAAGAACATACTAACGGGGCAAGGTCCTAGCGGTCAGGAAACAGGGTCGTACAATTCCATACCGATTACCAGAAGCCGCATAACAGCCATTGGGCAGTCGATACAATTTCTGTCCAGCTCGGAGATAGGCACCTACTTTCAAGGAAATAACAACCTTACAATGGGGACGTAGGGCAGCGGGTCGATCAGCAAAATGGACGTATCGCCTGGACATGACACGGAGTCCCTCCTTCCGAATGATGCTCCAAGCCTCGGCGGTGGTAGCATGACGACAATATTGTACTCCTTGCGAGTCGGTGACAGGGGTAGCTAAGTCCTCTAAGTTTACATCGGTAACGCTGTGTCCAGCTCCGGCCCTCAACTTCTCACCACACGGCGATAGAAACAAACGCTGTTTCGATGTAGGGGAAGAAACAACCTGAAGAAGTAACGGGCGAGTCACTCGACAATAATTGGCCAAATGGTCCAATGGGACATAACCGGCAGAGTCCCTGGGAGCGGTAGGGTCGTGACGAAGATAGGCAACCAAGCGGCGAGATAGGGTCTCCATAATGAAGTAGTTAAGTAAAAGTAGTAGCGGCTTTTTATAAGTAAGCGCGACGACAACAACCAATCAGAAACAACCTTACATCCACAACTAGGATTACGGGGTTACCGGCCACGCCCCTAACAAGGGAATCACCCGTAAACAATCCCTAACCGTCAACAACAAAAAAAAAAAACATAATCTAGACAACCATATTAAAATCATCAGCCTATCATTTAACTAAGTTAAATATTATTACCGAAAAAACTAAACATTATAAACATCATTAAAGGGAGAAGCGTATTCATTCGAGAGTAAATCTGAACCTTTTTAAGGAATTAGGGTGGCCCTAAAAAAGGCCTTTTAGGATAAATGTAGATAACGGTCGATTAAAGGCGGCGCAGTATAGACTGGATTCGGCTGTAGTAGACCATCATCCCTCTCTGGTTAAGATGAACCCGATCAGGAGCAAAGTGCTGAGGGTACTTTAGGGCCGACAGGGTAATAAATCCACGCTCCATATTCCTGGCCATCCAATGATTAATAATGGAACGGGCGCGACGATAGATGGTAGGAGTCAAACCCGGGACCTTGGACAATCCGTGTCGTGGCAAAAGCTCCAGTAATAGTACATGAGCACCAGTCTGTCGGAGATCATTCACCAGGGTAGTAAGAGCTTCAACTATCTGTCGAGGATGGCGGGATGGTGAAATGTCATTAGCCCCTAGATGTAAAACGTAGACATCGGCGTGACGTGAAACCAAATCATGTACCATAGCTTGGGTCAACGATGATACACGCAGACCACCTCTACCAACAAACTCGGATATCCAGGTCTCATCATAACGTTCACGGCGATGGTGATCGGCCAAACGGCGGATAAAACTGCTACCGAAGTATACAACCTTCATAACGATAAGTAAATAATACTATAGCTATCAGAGATGTACATATATCCCTTATAAACTATCAAACAACAACATAGAGCCTTAACTAGTATACAAACACAGCATATGACACCTATGATCATGCCGCAAAATGAAACCTACAACAAAACAAAACATTGAAATGACCCCTTTTTTACACGCCGCCAACCCAAGCGCAACACAATGAGAAAACAAAACCAGTAACATAAACACAAACAATAGCCGACCAAACTGAAATTCAGCCCTAATAAGTATCAAAACAAACCTAAAATACTGTCAAAACTATCCATAAACCTAACAAACAAATAACATATCAATTCCACATAAGCTAAATTTTGTACAACTTCCATACAACATTAACTCAACACTGAACATACAAAATATCGGACAAATAAGCCATAACACACAGACAACTCCAACACTAACCAGACCCACAACACTTATGAGACCCAATACCCCTAACCCTTGCATGCCAAAACTAACAATACCCCCATAATAGATAAATTTAAGGTTAAGAATACCCCCCCACTAATACGCACCACCTTCACACAATATATAATAAAACGTCGGAGTGAGAAACAAGGAAGGACTTGAGTGGTTTTATTGAACGAGGACATTGGTAAAGTCAGTAAAGATTCACACAGGAGAAAGAAGAAGAAAGACAGAAGATTGGACAACAAAAAGATCTGCACGCACTTGCACAGTACTAACCGCTAACACATAGTCCGTCGGAGGGGACTTAAAGCTGTGGTGTCCCGTGTGAAGGTCAGCCCGCCCAAGCACGTAAAAGATCCCCCTGTATCTTTCGAAAAAGAGCAGGCTTATTGCAAGCCGGTGCAGGGGCTATTAGGGCAGTAGGTAGGTAGGTAAGGGTAGTGGTAGGGATAATTAATATTAGATCGGGCTTCAAAATTCAATTAATAAATAACGACTTCGAACCGACGGCAAGGTAAAGGATCATTTTTTTCCAATAAGTACTTTAACAGTACAATCCAAAAATCAAATATAGATACAGACACCATAGCGGTACAAACTCAAATAGAATTAAAACACAAAATAGAAGAACTTATTCAAAAACACAATAGTGCATCTCAAATAAATAGGCTCCTCAAACAATCTTAAATCAAATAAATCCCCAACCATAAACGTTTTGACTCATAAAGTCATAACGATTAGTTAATGAGATAGCACATCTCCTGGCCTAAATAATCGTAATAGGATAAATCATCACTAAACTAGACCCCCCCCCACCCCCCCCCCCCCCCCCCCCCTCCCCACCCCCCTGACAGCTCTTGGTGCCCTCACAAGAGGATAGACGGTGGACAAGACCGGAAGAAGACCTTGGAACCATACGAACCGTCGGTTAGGAACACATTAGGCCCCCCGAGTCGCCTTCTAAAATTATAGATACCGCGTTAATAAGATAAGGTTAGGCATAGGCGACTCATCCCCCCCTCTATCTTCTACTTCCCTTTTTCCCTTCTTTCTCTCCAATACTATCCCCCCTTCTACTCACTCCTATCTTTTCTCGTCCTCTGAAAGGCCGAAAGGCCACAATAGAGGACGTTAATCCCTTAATAATAATAATAATAATAATGACCGACATTATAACGTCGCCAGAGAATCGACGTACGTCGATTGGATTCCGCCCGGCGACGGGAGGAATCACGGAGACGAAAAACTGCCAACAACAACGACCGACATTATCCAGAGAACATTAGACGCCATCCATGATTGGGCAAATCAGTACGAGTTTAAAATTTCAAAAGAGAAAACAGTAGCAATGCTATTTTCTAGAAGAAACAGGTTTCCCAAATTAACTCTAGGTGGTTCTGATATAAATTTCGTTAACCAAACCAAATACTTGGGTATGATATTTGACAGAATGCTCTCATGGATACCTCATATAAAGTATATTATAAAAAGATGTAAAAAAGTAATTAACACCATGTCCATCGTAAAAGGTAATAAAATTGGAGCCAATAAAATCACATTAATTACCATGTATAAAGCGCTGATAAGATCGAAGATTGATTATGGTTGTCAAGTATACAATTCGGCCTCACATAATGCACTTAAGGCACTAGATAGAATACAATTAAAAGCACTCAAAATAGCAATAAGTGGTCTTAAACATACTCCCTCAATAAGCGTACTGGCAGAAAGCGGAGAGCTCCCCCTACAATAAAGACGAGACAATTTGATCCTAAAATATTGGGCTCGCACTAAATGATTAGGTCCAGAATCACCAATCAACCTTATGACAGAGGAAAGTACAGATGAAATTTATCGCGATAAAATTACTCAACACTCCAAACCACCATTTAACTATAACATTCATGATTTATTAAAAGAACACAAATTAGAACACATCGAAATTGAAACATTAAACACTAATCATATACCCCCCTGGTTACTACCACAACCCAAAATTGACCTAGAAATTCTGGAAAAAACTAATAAAAAAGTAAACCCTGTAGGAGCTAAAAATATCGCATTGTCAATTATAGACTCAAAATACGCTACCTTCCAAAAAATATACACGGACGGCTCTAAAAACTCAAACACAAACAGGGTAGGCCTAGGTATTTACTGCCCGGATAACAAAACGGAAATCGCCCTTAGAATTAATAATAAATGCTCAGTATATAGCAGTGAACTAATAGCCATAGGATTGGCACTTCAACTCATTGATCAAGACAGACCAAATAATGAGGTAGTAATTCTCACGGACAGCCTATCCTCTGTACAATCAATCCAAACAGGTAATAGTACCAGACCTACGGTACTCAATTCTATTTATAATAGCTTAAAAAAACTAGAGGATAAGAATATACCGGTAATCATAGAATATATACCATCACATGTAGAAATTCCCGGTAACGATAAAGCCGACGAACTGGCTAAATCAGCTCTTTCACTTCCGGAAATACTACTTCCGGTTAAACTATCAAAAACAGAAGTATACTCTTTAATTAATAAAGCCATTAAAACCAAATGGGAAAAACGATGGAAAAATTTAGAACAAAGCAATCATCTCAGAGAAATTATAGATACACCTAATTTAAAACCAATTATGTACGGTAAAAGTATAACAGAGGATAAGGCTATTACAAGAATTAGACTAGGAACAACAACACTAAGAGGCGAAATTAGCCAAATAATCAGAAATATATCCCCAAATTGTAATCAATGCAACTTGGACATACCAGAAACAGTAAATCATATACTATGGGAATGTCCAGCCTATTCTAATGAACGGACGGTTTTTAAAAATGCCTTAACAAAATTGAAATTAAAAACACACAATACCAAATCATTATTTCTTAAATCCCAAGATGAAAGGTCTATAATTATTTATATCGTTAAATTTCTACACCAAATTAATAAGATCTACTACATTTATATCAAAAAACCCTTTAACAGCCCCAATCCCCACACACATACACATACGCGTCCTACAACTACAAAAACAAGCCGGGGGGTTGTATACAACATACCCCATCACATCAATCCAAACATCTTTCTAGGGAAAACCATACTAAAGGCCACCAGAATGCTAAACAAACAAGGCCAGCTCACTAGATCCATCATCCTTCTATTTAACACAGCCACACCCCCTCCATACATCTCAAACGGAATTCAATTTCTCAAAGTATCCCCTTACATCACAAAAACCACCTCAACTCGCACAAACCAAAAAAACCTATGCAACATCGACAACCAAAACATTCAACACCGATTTTAAACTCCGCAACGGAGAAACACAAAAGATACACATAAAACAAGCCCCAACACACACAGGGAACGAACCCATCACAAAACAACAATTCATCAACACAATAGGGTCACTTTTCATGGCTCTATCTTATCTCGACCAAAATCCAACAAAACTCTTCAATACTTTCAATAACACCCTCATATCTGAACTAGGGATAGGGCTTGACATATCGGTAGATAAAGAGACAAACAAAATAGAAATGACCCCTACAAAAACACACACAAACTCACCTACTCCAACTACGCACACAGATAAAAGACCCATAACGGAAGATATGACACCTGACACCAACACAAAGGAAGATCAAGCCATAACCA